CAATATAATGAATTACTATACATAACCTTGAAGCTAGCACAGAAATATTTTATTTAAAATAAAATATGTTTGGGCTGTTATCATCGTATAGATAGACAAATTCTAACTAGTTTAAATAAAACCCAGTTGTTCATTCTAGAGCACAGGCTAGAGAAAAGGACAATCAAATATGAAAAAATGTTAAATAGAGATAAAGACCAGAAATTCATTTTGATATTAAAAGAGATTAATTCACTGATTAAACCACAGATACAAATAAAAAGAGAAACAAGGAAATCTAAGGAAAATCCATATAGAATTATTTTTTTAAATAATCTAGTTCAATAATTAAATAGATAATGGATATCAAAAAATGACAAGAGAAATATGTGAATTAAAAACCAAAACAAAAGACTAATTTATACATTCCTTTGTATTATATCCATAAAAAATTTAAATATACAAATCTCATTCCTAAACCCAAAAGAATCTTTCTAAACAAATGAAATACAGACACAGGCATATTCAGGATCCAAATCATTCAAAAATATTTTTTAAATTACAGTAAATTACATAATAAGAAATGAAACAATTAAATTACAATTATATACAACTATTAAAAGGTTTTAAAAAGTTGAATGATGGTACAAAAGTGCAACAATTAATTTAATGAATACTATTCACTAATGCTTTTACAGTATACCTATTTTAATTTTTTAGGTCATAGATTTAAAAGAGCAAATCTTAAAAAAAAATCTTTAAAAAATTAAAGAGCAAATCTTGAAACCAAAATATACAAAAGAATTTATAGTTAATCTTGAAACTAATTTTGCTCATGTGTTCTAACATTGTGAATTACAGTAATATCCTCCAGAAAAGTCAGGTATTTGGTAAAGCAAGGCACATAGGACCAGATTTTGATAAAGGTGCTTTTTCTTTGGCCCTATAACTTCTTTGAATATCCTGGAGATATTAAGATGACTTTCAATATAACATAAATAGCTTTTATAAATCTTATATAAAGTATACACATATAGTACAGTAATTAAATATGCTTACAGTGAATGTTTAAATGAGTGATGCTAAACCCTTCCTTTACAACAAAATCTCAGTTTGAGTGACTCAGTTTGAGTGAAAAGTAAAATCATTTAATATGTAAGAATATTCAGGATTAGACTAAGTGTATAGACCAAAATGTCAATTAGTTTTCTTTCAAATTCTGTTATTAGAATCTAGTTAAAATATCAAACTGCCTTTCCTTTCTATGAAATTCTGTGACTTTCAAAATAAATTGATGTAAATATTTAAGTTTTGCATCTCTATACAATCCACATTAAATTAGCTTACTATTTCTCTAAAATCACTTATTAAAAAATTGACAGTATTACTGTCTTGAAACATCTACCTGCTATATTTCAAACTTTTCTTCACAATACCATATTCTTTTTTTTTTCTGGTACCAGGAGTCAAACTCAGGACCTTGTGCTTGCCAGGTAGGCATGGCACCACTGAGCTAAATCCCCAGTCCCCCATATTCTTAATTTTTAATAGAATTATCAGTTGGCACTCTTCTCTCATGAATGAGCATATTTTCACATTGAACAAAGTAGTTGAGAGATAACAAATTCACTTTTAAAAGCATAAAAATATAAAGAGTCAAAGTCATTGTTATAAAAGCTTGATATATTAAGACCTTTGAAGGTCATCAAAACACAAACCACTGCTGGGGATTTAGCTCAGTGGTTCCGACGCCTGCCTCACATGTGCGAGAACCCGAGTTCGATCCGCAGTACCAAAAACAAAAATAAAAACAAAACACAAACCACTTACATGAAATGGCATTATCTGTATATATGATATGATCCAAGGACACAAGTCCATCTTCTCAAACATGAGTATTTCCTTATGAATTAAAAATTAGAGGGCTGGGGATTTAGCTCAGTGGTTCTGCTGCCTGCCTCGCAAGTGGAAGGTCCGAGTTTGATCCCCAGTACCAAAAAAAAAAAAAATTAGAAACTACATAGCCCAATAACAGTTTCAAACCTACTAGAAAAGCAAAATAAAAACTATACCTAATTGGGGCCAGGAATTTAGCTCAATGGCACAGTGCCTGACTCACAAGGGCAAGGTCCTGAGTTCAATCCCCAGTACCAAAAATATATATACACCTAATGAAAATTTGCTTTTAAAATATACTTTAGATTATTTTGCCCATTTTCACATCTCTTAATTATATTTTTTATAACCCTTATTGGAATCTTGAAAATTGAACACCTAAAAATGTGTCTTTACTCTGTCATACCTAATGTCCAATAATTGCTGGTATAAATTTTAAGTGTTAAAATAGGGCAGACTAAACCTAGATTAACAAATGTGGATATACATTGCGTTAATAAACAATTGCCCAAACAATACTTCAATGTGAAACGAATATATTTATTTTTAGTGTTGAATTCTGTGTACTTATAAAATTTAATTTCACTTAGTAGTAGAAAATAAGATATAAGCCTGAATGTTGCTATAGTCCTAAAAATATGTTCAAAATGAGGTAAAGTTATTAAATAAAATATTCTAAAAGGCAGTCAGCAAAAATCTGAACTCTAGTATCCAGAAAATTTGCTTGGTGCCATTTTGTTATCAGTAAATTGATTCTAAATATTTTGTAATCTTCAGCAATTTGAAACCCTGAATGAAGCTGATTAGACCTACAATCTACAGCCTATGTTTGCATTATCAAGGTAACACAGTCCAAATTAGCCAAGAGTACCCAACAGTTTATAACAACACTATTTTTGAGTCAAATTCTACTTAACAAAATCCATTAGAACTATATAAAAATATGTATTTTTACAGTATTTCTATTAGAAGTCTTTAAAAATATATACAGTATAAATGAAAAAATAAAATACTATACTCAATAGGTAATTCTGTATATAGTTCATAATTAAATTAAACCTATATCCCCAATTATAGAAAGCATATTTGCCCACTAACATCTTATTATTTCTAATATATCCCCTCTCCTCTGAACCAACTTATTAAATAATTCATATAATTTGCATTCTCAACTCCAGTGTTAAAAGGGTGGCGGGGGGGGGATCCACTATTTTAAAGCAAAATGGTGGTTCTCTCCCAGAAGCTCTATGGGGACATAGGGAATTCAGAGTTCAGCTACAACTCCCAATCAAAAAGTCACAGTATCCCTGAGGACAGCAGGCTTAAGAGAGATCTGAAAAGTTCTTTTGACCAGACTTAAATTTAAAGCTATAGTGCTATAGTGCTATTTAAAGTAATATAATAAGTCTATAGGGAATGTCTACAAGAAAAGACATTTTGGTCTTGGTCTTTTTTTTTTTTTTGAGACAAAGTCTTGCTGTATAGTTCAGGCTGGCCTGGAATTCACTATGCAACCCAGGCTGGCCACAAACTTGTGATCCTCCTGCCTCTACCTCGCAAATGCTGGGATTACAGGTGTGTGCCACCATGCCTGGCTGTTCTTGGTCTACTCTTACATGCACTACTATTTTTTTAGTTGTTGTTTTTTTTTCAATAGTAGTAGACTAAAGGAAATTTCTACAGCTCAATGAGCAAAATATCATTTAAAAACTTTCTAGTTGTATACAATATATGGTTGATATTTTAAATTTTTCCAAATGGAGGTATTAGATAATAGTGATTATTTTAAATTAATAAATGAGTATTTAATCCAATTAGATTATATTTTAAAACTTTAATGGCAATTAACACATACAAATGTAAACTGATATTAAGGATTTATCTGATTTATAGAAAAGAAATGCAATTAAGAGATTAAGTAAGGGTAAAGCTCCATTTTTATAAAAGTCACCAGCTACTATGGAACACAAGAACAACTGAATTGTTTTTTTGTTTTTTGGGTTTTTTTGCTTTAAACAATTCATTTAACTGAAATGCCATATACTTGCTTCCATTTATTTTGATACATCCTGTCCCCAAGGTGATTTAGAGGATCTTCAAGCCAATACAAATATTTCATAAATATTTGGCCATTTAGGTATACATCTGCACAATACCTCACATCTTTCAGCAAGAAAAACACTGAAGAGTAAAGAACTGACACAATTAACTGGGTATAATGAGAATCTGCTCCAAATATTTGTTTCTCTGAGGTAAAGGCACCACATACCTGGTTCAATTAAGAAAACCATCCTTACAACACAGGATGATTTTTTATTTTTAAGTAGGGCTTAGGGGATTCAGCCGCTAATTAGGTGCTGCAGGGCAGAGCTACATCCCCAGCTTATGCCATGAATTCACAGGGAACAGGTTCCAACAACTCAGGCTCCTTCCCATTGGTTCTTACAAAGTGTGCTTCTCTGGGTGGGGCAGGCTGGTGCATCAGTTGAACCCAGGTACCTTTCTCTTTGGCTTTCTTTTTCTGATCATTTTCCTTGACCAGTTTCAGGAAGCTATCTAGACTCTTTGAGTGTTTAATATGCTCAATATGCACATTAATCCTCTTGGCAAGTATCTTGCCCTTAACTTGCTTATTTACAACAATGCCAACAGCATGCTGGGTAACATTGTAGACTCTTCCAGTTTTGCCATGGTAACATTTGTGTGGCATTCCTTTTTGAACAGTATCCATTCCCTTGATGTCTACAATATCATCCTTTTTGTAGACTCGCATGTATGTGGCCAAAGGAACAACCCCATGTTTTCTAAAAGGCCTAAAGAACATATATACCGGGTTCCCCTCCTCTTTCCCTTTGTGTTCGTCATTTTGGCAGATTACTGGAAGATGGCGGTTCTGGCCGAAAGGCCAACTGGACTGTTTTTAGGTATTGTAAAGTACTAAAAGGTCTTAGGCTATATGTGGAGAAATAGTTTCTCTACACTAAATTTAAATATGAATTTTACTCTCTGACAAACCAGACCCAGAATATTATTTAATCAAATTTTACATAATTTAACGAATAATATTTAGCAATCCTAGGCTGAATAATCTTTTGTATAAATATAAAAATCTCAGATTGTGAAAATGTTTTTCAAATCATACTTCTATTTTTTCACAGCTGTATAGGTAATTATAATTTTCAAATTTTGAATATTCCATTTGACTTGATATATTTTTACAGAAATAATAAGATAAAAACATTTCATAAGAGTAAATACATCTAATTTGCAAAAATTGGTATCTGACATTTGTGTGCTCTTACAAAGAGTACATAGGACATTTCTGCACCAATCAAAAAGGTAGATTCTTTTAAACTTAGATTTCAAGTTTCCTCAAATATTTCTTCTAATTCAAATTCCTGGAAACACTTTCAAGTTTTGAATTCTAAATGTAATGTGTTTTGTTACATATACAGTACATGCTTTATCATTAAGCACATATATTTTTCAAACCTTTGAACAACATGATCAGTTTCAGGATGACAGTTTCTTCAGAAAATCCATAGACGTCCTCTGTGGAAGACTGATGTTGAGATTCTGAGTGCACCATGATGGAAAACCAGTAAAAGATAGTACATGACTATGCTTTAGTGGGGTTTCCTGCAGGCTTGGGATCATAACCGTATAAGAAAGTAGCTGTTATTACAAGGATGGCTCCAAGGAAAAAGACACTGAATAAAAGAAAAATAAAAGAGATGAAAATCAAATAAAGGCAAAACAAGATCTTTCTATGCATTTAGTAAACAATTATACTAGGGGAGCAGGTGCTCCAGTAAGAATAGAGAGCACTTCCTACATTCTGGGTGCTGAGATGCTGGACATGCATCACACAGTCCTCACAATGGCCCTTCGGGAAGTACTAGTATTAGCTTCATTTTTTACTGATAAGGAAACAAATTTAGTGTGAATAAATGCCTAAAGCCCACAAGTTTAGAGTAAAACAAGATTCCAGTCTAGGTGTGTCCCACTCTAGAGCCTGCACTCATCTACTATTCTATAAGGTTTCCCAATACAAATACTTAAGATGCTTTATTTTACCATAACATGCATTTTCCATGCAATGCATTCAATGATAAAAGGTCTCAATTCTTTATTTGAAAATATAAGAGGAAAATCTCATTCTTTTATGTCAAATCCTGGCAAGGTCAGTTTAAAATCCAAGGTAATATCCAAAGCTCAGAATTGATTTTCATAAGATGCTTAACAAAAGGAAATTAGAGTGACTGCAACGAGCTCACAATTTTTCTTTTCATCTATCTATAGATATAATCTACTTCACATAAATTGGAAATGAACTTAAACTGGATGTTAACTAGACTACTTAACTTTTATGCCTACCTAGCCTGACCTCAAAATCACAGTGATCTTTCTGTCTCAGCCTCCCAAAAGCTGGGATAATAGGCATGTGCCACCACACTGGGTTGCATACTTTTTAAACGCTGTTATTGAGTTATAAATTAATCTTGACTTTAAAGTTTCTATTAACAGTTCAAAGTCATTCTTCTGATCTTAAAAGAGAAAAAATCTGCTCTATGAAAGTAAAAGATCCCGGGCCGGGGATTTAGCTCAGTTGTTCCGGCACCTGCCTTGCAAGCACAAGGTCCACCGAGTTCGATCCCCGGTACCAAAACAAATAAATAAACAAACAAACAAATAAATAAAAAATTTTAAATTTAAAAAATTAAAAAAAAAAAAGAAAGTAAAAGATCCTGGGGGCATTTAGCTCAGTGGCACTGTGCCTGCCTTGCTAACGCAAGGTCCTGAGTTTGATCCCCGGTACCACACACACACACAAAAAAAGAAAGTAAAAGATCCTTATTATGATATCAAAGTCCTTTCCTAATATGGTTCCTTCAAACTCATTCTCTCAGATTCCTCCTCACCCAGTCTGTAAGTCTGCCATTCCACTCAGTGTGCTCTCTAATGACAGTGTTTTCACACATGTCCTCAGTCTACAATTTCCTTTCCTCAAGAAAAGTGTTTATTCATAACAGTTCAGGTCTACTGTCGGTAAGACTCATTCTCCTAGGCAGAGTTACACTATTACAATACTTAGCACAATCCTATTAATGCATTTACTTATCTGCTCCCCTATTCAACCATGTGCTGTTCAATTATTGTTGTACCACCAGTGTCCATCATATATAGTGAGCTCAGTAATAACTATGATTAATAAAGAGTGTTGAGGGATGGGGATTTAGCTCAGTGGTTCCGGCACCTGCCTCAAAAGTGCAAGGTCCCAAGTTCAATCCCCAGTACCAAAAATAATAATAATAATAACAATAATAATAATAATTTTTAAAAAGCAAGTGTTAGGCCGGGGATTTAGCTCACTGTTCCGGCACCTGCCTTGCAAGCACAAGGTCCCAAGTTTGATCCCCGGTACCAAAAAAAAAAAAAAAAAATAGCAAGGTAAATGGGTAACTTCTTAATTATCTAAAGTGCAGTAAGAAGTTAGGTCATCAGTTTATCTTTTGCTTTTAATGCAGAAACAAATTTTGTTAACCCTCCCTTTGTAATATCTCCAGAGTCAGACTGTTTCTCACCATCTCCATTGCTACCACCCTGTTTCAGCTACCCTCTTTTTTTTTTTTTTTTTTTTTTGTAGCTGGGTTCAAACTCAGGACCTTGCGCTTGCAAGGCAGGCGGTGGCACCACTGAGCTAAATGCCGACCCGAGCTACCCTCATTTTTATCAAGGTTAGGGAAGTTGTTTTCTGACTGGATTGCTTGTTTCTTCTCTTGCCTGGGCATCCTCAGTCTTCTATTCAACAACCACAATGATTTTATTTTCAGTATAAATCAATGTATCACTGCTATGCTCAGAAATTCTAATTGCTTCCCATCTCCTAAATTAAGAAGTTCCAGGGCCGGGAATTTAGCTCAGTGGTTCTGCCGCCTGCCTCGCAAGCGCAAGGACCCAAGTTCGATCCCTGTACCAAAAAAAAAAAAAAAAAGAAGTTCCGGGGCTGGGGATTTAGCTCAGTGGCACCGTGCCTGCCTCGCAATGCCTGCCTCAAAAGCGCAAGGTCCTCAGTTCGATCCCCGTACCAAAAAAAAAAGAAGTTCCATACACTTAAATTCATCCTGTAAACCATTCTGTGACCCATCTATAAATATTGCCTTCCCTTAGGTTACTGTGGTTAAAATGTGTCCCTGTGTCAAGGAAGATATGGGCCTAGGCCAATGAAGGAACAATGAAGGACTGCCATTTACCAAACTGGGAAACCTAGCCAGGAACAGGCAATGAGTATCTAGTAAATTTTAGAGTGAAAATGTTGAATGGCAACTAGATAGATATACAAGCCTCAAATTCAAATTTAAATGAAACTAAATGAGTACAAATAAGACTCCAAAGTTTAAAGACTGAGAAAATCAGGAAGGAGATGAAGTTGCAAGAAAACTAAAAATGGTGTCCTGAAAGCCATTAAAATGTAATTCCATTAGTCTGGGATTATAAATCAATAATTGAAAAAAGAAATTCATAGAGCCTTCAATACCATCTGTAATGAGTACTTATTGAAGGACCCTAGTTAGCAAAACAGACTCCATATTGCTTCTGGACCCACCTGCCTGCCCTTTAGATGAACTCAGAAGAAGGAAGCTTAGAAACCTCCTCCCCTTAGAAAGTCTCTTTAGAAACAACAATTAATCAACTGTTGTTTTACAAATGTTCTAAGGGCAGGACGTTCCGCTTCTGTACCTTTTGCTTGCTTTGCTAGTTCTATCCCATAGCGGGGCCTAGAAACTGTTGGCCTCAAAGGTGTATAAAACATGCTTGTCTCCCCCGGGTCCCAGCCGGTAATAAACTCCTGTGTGGATTTAATATCGGTCTCTGGTTGGTTCTCTCTCGCTGGGTGTAACACTTATTATGCTTAATTCTTCCTGAGTCTGTCTCCTTGCTTGGCATCGATGACACCACAAGGTCCTGGGTCTCCTGCCTTACCTTTCACTATTCTTTTTACAATTCCTTTCCATGCTCTTCTTCTTGCTTATTGAATTGAGGTTTCTCTTGAGCCACCTTCTCTATATAAATTATCTTCTTCAGGAATCTCATCTACTCTCCTGGATTTAGTTACATGAATTATGTATTTAAAATGTCATGATTTATTTTATAACTTTATATGACATAAAAATTTTATATGACTTTTTACTTTAGGAGAAAAACATTCAGATCTATTACGAAAATTCTGGCCATTCAAATTTGCGCAAAAAGTTTCTGGTAGAAAATTTTCCTTCATGTATTTAGTTTGAAGTATTTTTTTTAAAAGACAGTGAAATGGGCCAGGGATTTAGCTCAGTGGTTTCACCGCGTGCCTAGCAAGCTCAAGGACCCGAGTTCGATCCCCAGTACCAAAAAAAAAAAGAGATAGTGAAATGAGTTTTAAAATTACAGAAGTTGTAATAGGATCACTATAAGAAGAATTCTTATTTTTCTATATACTTATGAAGATTTAAAGAAATAAAAAAATATTTTACCTGGTTGGCACAAAATCCTGTAGCCAAAAATAGGATATCAGTGTTGATAATATTATGGATAAAGATGTTGCAAATCCTTTTAAAATATTATCTGCATACTTAATCACAGCAGCTATAACAAGGCCTCCAAGTGCCTGTAAAAGTTTTAAGACATTATTTTTTATTACTCAGTGAAGCTTTAGGCTTTTGTCCTATAAATTTAATCTCATTATTGTAAATGATTTACCTTAAGCATCTCTTATAACCACTAGATTTGTAGGTTTGGTACAATGACACTCTTATTTCAAAAGGTATTCACATGGAGTTTGATCATACTATTATCAGAGGGAAGACAAAAATACATCTTTCAGCTTCACTTGCTCTTAGTCAACCTAATCATTCATTTTGGAGCTCACATCTCTGGGCAATACATAAATTTCTTTCTAGCATTGCTGTAAATAACACCTCTGGTAAGTGTCATTGTAACAGTTACCTAGGTTACTTTTCAGGGACTTGAGGCCATTTTTGCTGTAAATACTGACTCTTCACTAGGACCTGCAGATATATGATAGGTGACTGGAATAGGCCAGAATGGGATGCTTGGCCTCTCTTCACATACTGTTTCCTATGTTGCCCTCACCTTTAAGTAAAATTCTACTTAGCTTTGCATATAGACACATGGATTATTTGCAAAATATTTTGCCTATAACTATAATGTAGAGTCAACTTCACCTAAACTTGCTTAGTATCTTCCCATCCCCTTTGGGGTTAACGACACCTACCAGCCACATGACCAGAAACATCAAACCATAAAGGGATAAAAAAGTGGTACCAAGTTCCTGGAAGATCATCTATTCTAAGACATGAATATGTGTCCCCTTAATTCCCTATCTCTCTCTCTCATTATTCCTATCCTGTATCTGTAACCCCTCACTCTCTCTGGAGTTGAGAAGCTGATTTGTAAGCAAAGCTCCCTCTTCCTCATTCTTTGGCCAAGAATAAAATCTTCTCTCTCCAGACCACACTGGTTTTTCAATGGGATAAGCTTCTAGACCCGCACTTGGTAACAATATTATAAAAAAAATTTATCCTTACCCAAATTATTAATTAGACATCGCTTCTTTAGACAAATGTGCAAAAACTGATTACTGAATAGTGAAATAGTTTTACTTTTGAGTAAAGGTTAATTTAAAATGTATGAGTTTTGTTTTACTTCTGTTTTTGTCTTTGTGTTAATAGGGACTGAACTCAGGGAGCACTGAGCACATGTCCCCAGCCCTTTTTACTTTACTTTCACAGGGACTCCCTAAATTGCTCTAAATTGAACTGATGGTCCTGCTGCTTCAGCCTCCCAAGTAGCTGGAAGGTTAGGAATAGCTGGGATAAGCATATCCCATCCCATCTAGCTTTATTTTTCTTCTCCCAGTACTTAAAGAGACTGAGCCCAGGGCCTGCATGCTAGATAAGCACTCTACCACTGAGCTACATCTGCAACTCTCCCAAATTTTTTTTACTAACCTTTCAATAGCCTCCTAACTTGGCTTTCTTATAGATTTTCCCTATCCCATTTCTCATTGTTGAGATTACTCTTCCTAAAGTACAGTACTAATAGTGCTCTTAGCCCTTTTTTTGTTTTGTTTTCACTTTTTGAGATAGGACTCATTTTGTAGTTCAATCTGGCCTTGAACTATTTAGCCTAGGCTGGCCTCAAACTCATGGCAATCCTCCTGCCTCAGGCTCCCAAGTGCTAGGATTACAGGCATATACTACCATGTTCCACCTTTCTCTTCTTTTCTTTCTTCTTTTTCTTTCCCTATTGGTGCTAGGGATAGAACCCAGGACCTTATATATGGTAAGCAAGCACTCTACCACTGTGCTATACTCCCAGCCCTATGCACTCTCTTTGTAAGTATATAAAGAACTTTCTACCAAATCCCTCTCAAATTCCAGATTGTGGCTACTTAACAAATGAGGTTTGAGGGGAGGTTAGGGTACAGCTCAGTGGTAGAGGACTCCTCTAGCATTTCTAAGGCTCTAGGTTCAATCCCAAGCACTGCAAAACGGTTTACTGCAAAGCTGAGTATCCCTCATCCAAATACAAAATGCTTCAAAATCTTGACCATTTTTGAACACTGACATGCCACAAACGGAAAATTCCACACTTGACCTTCTATGATGTATTGAACAACAGCTGTATTGAAAATACTGTACTGTGTAAAATTACCTTCAGATTATGTGTATAAGATGTATATCTAAAAAAACACAATTTGGGGCCAGGAATTTAGGCGCTGGTGGCACTGCACCTGCCTTGCAAGCTCAAGGTCCTGAGTTTGATCCCCAGTACAGGGGCGGGGGGGACGACACAGCAAAACAAAACAATTTTGTGTTTAGACTTAAGTTCCATTCCCAAGATACATCATTATAGGCAAATATTCTAAAATCCAAAACCTGAAGGCAATGATTTGTATCTTTATTTTCATGTCCTCCTGAGTACTCAGTAAGTTTCATTTGAGGGGTAAGGAGGGTTTAATGTTTTTAGTGGTTTCCTTTTTTTTGTTTTGTGGTACTGGGTATTAAACCCAGGGCCTTGAGCATATTAAGCAAGTGCTCTACCACTGAGCTACATCTTCAGCCCATTTTATTCTTTGAGATAGAGTCTCATCTAGTTGGCCAGGTTGGCCTCAAACTTGTGATCCTCCTGGCTCAGCCTCTAAAGTACAGTGAGCACCACTATGTCTGGCACTAGAAAAAAAATTTTTTTCCAAGACAGGGTCTTGTTATGTAGTCTAGGCTGGCTTTGAACACACTATGTAGTCAGGGCGGCCTCAAATTTGCAAACATCCTGTCTCAGCCTAAGTACTGAGATTACAGAGATGCATCAACATGCCCAGCCCTAAATGAGTATTTTCTGAAAAATTACTCCACTCTTGAACAACTTCAAAATAGTTATAAACTGAAGAAATGTGACAACCTAATAACTATAAATTGAATTTTAAAATTGTTGCAGAATTAAATGTTTCTTGGATTTTAAACCACAGACCTTCTATGTAATGATAGAGCTACAGAAAACCCAAAAGTTGTTTGCTCTTAGCTTAAACTTTATTCTTAAACTTGCATTTTCACAATGTTACGTTTAAATACTCCAGAGTTCAATCATAAGCCTTTTTCAATTAAGTTGACATAAGCACAACAAGACCAGTAGTACTTTAACTTCCCTCGATAAAGTAAGTACAATGAGAGAACTAACGAGAGAATTTTTTCCCCTAAAATCAGCATGTGTGTATATATAGCTACTTTGATTCTCTATAATAAAATAATATTTATTAGCATTAAAGACTTTACATGCTTTACCTGAAGGACAACAACTATCCAGGTCAGTTGGTTATATCCCTGAAAAAATCCATTCTTTGATACCAATTCTCCATCATAAATATACACACCCATCAATCCAAATATACTCCCAAAGAAACCTAAAAAACAATGAAGTCTATGTCATATAGTTTTTCTGAAGATATATTTATCTGTTGGCATTCCAAATAATTTTATACCTTATTCCAAATAATTTTATACTTTATTTATACTAATTTTTTTACTCGGTTAGTAAGTACTTTTACTCGGTTCTTTCTTTCTTTTTTTTATAAGACAGTGTCTTTGCTAAGTCATTAAGTTGCCCAGGCTGAGCTCAAACTTGCAATCCTCCTGCCTCAGCCTCTCAGAGTGCTGGGATTACAAGCATATACCACCATGCCCAGCTGGTTTACATAAACTTAACAACAAAAGTATACTTGATATTATATTATAACTATAAGACATAAGAATATAAGAAGGCAAGGCAAAGACATAAGAATATTTTAAAAAAACAAAAATACCAACCTTCAAGCACTAAAATAATATTAACTATATAATTACATTGCTGTCCCAGCATAAATTACATGATTATATGGCTGCTCATGCAAATATCTGTAAGATGCTCACTTTAACACATCATTTTGTCCTGTATATCTTATATCTTTCCATTGCTATGTTTAGATTTGTTTACTTTCATATATGTATATATAAAAGCTCACGTATGTGATAGCATTGTTTTGTATTTAGACATTTTGAAAGCACAATAATCAATATCCAAAAAGTCAGGGCTGAGAAATAATCATATAACTGTACACCATTGGAAGGTGCACAGATTATTGAATTCTTATTGTTAGAGCTAGTCAGCTCAGTGAATGCAAAGCTATCTTGTTCACTGCTGAATTCTCTAAAATATTGCCTATCCCAGGATTACTGGACCTAAAAAATTTCCAGGAGCACTGCTAAGCTATGGATGAACCCATCTCTCTCTCTCTCTCTCTCCCTCTCTTTCTTTCTCTCTCTCTCATTCCTTGTGGGGCATTGGTAAATGTATATAACATATTTTAATTATTTTCATCCCCTTTACTTCTCCTCTCTCTCCCTTCCCTTCATTCCTTAGTCCAGGACCCACCTCTTATGGGTAGTTTTGGAATATATTTAAAGAGGACAGGGATAAATAAGTTTTTCTTATATACATAAAGCTTAACTAGGCAGCTTTCTATGATGAAAAGGAACTAAAAACAATGTAAAATACTATTAAAATTTCATTTATGCCTGCTCTTTCTTAATGTGTCTAATTTTCAACATAAATTAATCCTGCCAGATAATTACAAAGGACTCCTGAATATATTTTTTAATTTAACTTATAAGTAACTGATAATTACATACGTATGTTTTATATTCTTTCTTCCTTTCTTTCTTTCTCTCTCTCTTTCTTTCTTTCTTTTTTGAGCTAGATTGTCACACAAAGGCCCAGGTTTGGTCCCCAGCTTATGACACTACTGGGAGGTGACAGAACTTTTACAAGGTAGGAACTAGTGGAAGGTCTTAGGTCACTGGGGGCAAGCCCACCAAGGGGACAGTGAAATCCTGTCTCTCCATCTCTGGTTCCCAGCAACTACAAGATGAACAGCTTTTTCTACCATGTGCTCCCATCATGACTTACTACCTTACCACAGTCCCAAAAGCAATAGGGCCAACTAACCATGGACTGAAACCTCTAAAATTGTTAGCCAAATAAAACTCTCTTTGTAAGTTAGTTCATCTGAGATATCTGTTACAGTGATGGAAAGTATATAAGGATGCATACATGTCATACATGTCAGTATGTACAGACCTACTATATTCTAACAGCTGCATAATATTCCACTGTCTGAATATTATAAAATATGTATGGAACAACTGTGTCCCAGGAACTATTCTAAGTGCTTTATGCATATTACTTACTATAACCCTATGAGATAAATACTTGTATGTCTACTTTATACATGAGGAAACTATAAGCTCACACTATAATAAATAATGGTTTCATCTGAATCTAAGCAGTATGGCTCTGTAGTCTGATCTTTTTTTTCCTCCCCCTCTTGGAATCTATAATCTGTTTGTTTGTTTGTTTGTTTTTTGGGTACTGAGGACCAAGCTTGGGACCTTGCGCTTTCGAGGCAGACAGCAGAACCACTGAACTAAATCCCCAGCCCTGGAATCTATGATCTTAACCACTATTAAGATCACTATTATGATCTTAATCCACTATTTATCAAAACAATAATTTATTAAACCAGTCCACTCTTCTATTTTTTACATCATAACCAATGCTGAAATGAAGAACCTTGGACATCTATTTTTTGCTTTTGTAGGATAAATTCTCATTTGGGTGTTAAATTCTTACATCAAAGCCTATATTTATTTAAAAATTTTGTAGGTATAACCAAATTGAGATCTAACAGGGTTATATAAAAATCTGTATTCCTAGCAACAATAGGTAACAGTTCCTGTTTTTCCATTCTCTGGCTAAGATTTCTTATCCATTTGCTGATCTTTTATAATTTGATACTTGAAAAATGCTATTATGTTATTTCAATTTTTGTTCTTGTAATATTGAGTTATCTATAACTTTTGTTTTTTGTTACTGAAGATCGAACTAGGGACCTTGTGCTTGCGAGGCAGGTGGTGGCACCACTGAGCTAAATCCCCGGCCTTAACTTTTTTAAAGTATTCTTTCAAAAATTTTTCAATTGGCTCACAATTTTTCCATGAGAATAGTGCTGTCAGATCAAACCATGAAGCACCACTGATCAAGAATTCTGATTTATCTTCCATTTTTATCTTCCAATACAAGAAAATTTTAGCCAACTCATATAAACCTTGAATATTTTTTTTCTGTCTGCACATTTATATAAATAACTGATATTAGTGCTTACTACAATGTACATGCAAAACATGTACTCTATGTGTTATCTCATTTAACCCTCATAGCAACATATAAGATAGGTACTATAACTAGGTACTACACTTTATAGATGAAGAAAGTGAAGCACAAAAAGTTTAAGTAACTTCTCAGAGGTCACATAGGTGATAAGTAATGAAATCAGGATTTGAGATAACTTAAAAAATGGTAAATCAGGGGCCAGGGATTTAGCTTAGTGGTTTCACCACCTGCCTCGAAAGTGCAAGGTCTCAGGTTTCATCCCGGGTACTAAAAAAAAAAGGGGAAATAAAGTTGCTTAATGGATTTAAGCCTGTGAATCTGTCTTCCAGACAAACTGAGCAAAAGATAATTAAATTTTGCTTTAAAAATATTTACCTTGAATGTTTATTCTTTAAAAAAAATACATTTCTACAAATTTCACAGAGAAACAAATTCTATGTGATAAAATGGAGGTTCAGGTTTTTTTATATTAATGAAAAAAGGATAAATTTTAAAAAGGTAAAAGGATAAATTTTAATCACATTTGGAAGGTATAACTTAAAATATGGGTCAATTTGAGTATAGTTTACCATTTAGGAGCTGGAGAGACAGCCATGATTGCTATGATTGCTGATCAAGAGAAACATGGTATATCTATTAAGTAAATCTGATTTGGGTTTGGGGGTGGTTTAAAAAATAAAACCCTAAAGTCACAAGGACAAAGGCTTAAAATAGAAGATGTTGATTTGCAAATGAGTTGCTTCTCACGTGGACAGTTTTATATGTAGCCCTATCCAAAAGGAATATAAGCCCAAGAATACTGTGTTGGAATCCACGTGTGAGGATTGGAATATAACAATACTATACTCTAAATATTTGTTGAAAGGCAAACCTTCAGTGTGGTTTTTTTTTTTCTTTGAGCTGCATACCTTCGGTTAGAAAAATGCTGTAGTATTTAAGGGCTAAAACACCGAAATATAAAGGCATTTTTAGGTGTTAAAAGAAATGAAAAGTTAATCACTGCCAACTTCTTTCATTTAAGTATCTTAATCCCCTTTTCTAGGAGTAAAATATGTGAGCTACTTGCAATAGCTTCTGGGAAAAAACAGCAACCAAGGATAAATTTACTAAGCCTCAATAATGAGGACAGAACAAGCTTTACTCTTATTTCAAATCTAAAGGTCCATATTCTTGAATAAAGGGCATTTTTGAAAAGGCAAAAACATTGCCAGATATTTGTATCAATAGCAGATTTTAGGCAAGGCTTATTTAAAAATGTATACAGAAATTTATAAATACAACATAATCATTTTTTTTGTTACTCGGGATCAAACTCAGTTCTTTCTGCTTGTGAAGCAGGCAGCGGAACCACTGAGCTAAATCCCCAGCCAACATAATCATTTTTTAAAATATATTAGAGAACATTTGAAACTTACCAAGCTGAATGTTTCTTATCCATACTGATTGTTTTGTTTCTTTTAAGATTTTCTCAAAATAAACTCCAGCAAAGCCACTTGAAAAACAGGCTGTGAGAACTGCCATGAGGCCCACAAATTGAGAGCCAGCTGAGAGTTCTTTAGAATCAAGCTCTTGGGAATCTGAGGGCCACTAAATACAAGCAAAAACAAAACTGATATTTAATTATATCTTACAAAGTGCATATTATGAGCCCACACAGACCTTACATAAAAATGCATCCAATATCATTTAGGAACTGCAGAGGAGAGCTTTTGAATAAAAGTCTTAGAATCATTAGGTTTTTCCCCCCCAGTAATAACATATTACTATTTCAATTTATGATTTCAAAAAATACCTTAGGGGACAATAAATATTTACATTTCATTTATTACAGAGACCAATCTATTATATTAAGATAATCCTTTAAAGTCTAATATTTTAAAGACTAGCATTGCAAACACAGGTAGATGAAAGGATTAGAATTGTATGTTCCCTTTGTTGCCTCAGCAAAAACATAGGAAACTGGAAAGAAATGTGCTAAATCAAGCAAAATAAAGAAAAACACTTCTAAGGAAAGAGGTCTATCAGTAAATGAAGGAAAACTGAGTACTCTTGAAAGAAAATGTTTTGGAAGGGACTCCAAGATCATCATACCAAGTAAGATACCCTAAGATGTTACTGACCCTGATCTAATCCATTGATACCTTATAACTACTGTTAAATTTTCTATCAAATCTATTTTTTCACTTCTCTGATAGATCTTCTACTAGCTGGACTTCTTAAAGCCATTTTTCCTTTTGAAAGTGTACTGTTCATTGTTACCAAAGACTTCTCAATGTATTCAATAACTCTTAATATCAAAATTGGAGTCCTGTGGGTGTGGTGGCACACACCTGTAATTCCAGCACTCCAGAAACTGATGCAGAAAAATCACCCTGAGTTCAAAGCCAACCTGACAGTGAGTTCTAGGCCAGTGTGAACTATGTAAGTAAGACCCTGTCTCAAAAAACAGAAACAAAACAAAAAAATCAGAATTATTCACTTATTATTCAGCTTGCCTTCATTGTGGCACTGTTATTGATTCCTTGCCTCTTGGAATGGCCTGCTTTTCTTGGTCCTCTCCTCCCAATCTTTATTCTTGCAGTACTCAATAGACTTTCTGTAAGGATGGAAATGTTCTATAATTCTGCTGTCCAATAGGGTAGCTACTATCTTCATGTGACTATTGAGCAACTGATAGGTGGGCAGTATGACTAAAGAACTGAAATTTTAAACCAAGTATGGTAGTGCAACATCTATAATCCCAGCACTTGAGAGACTGAGGCAGAATTGCCGTGCATTTGAGTCCAGCCTGGGCTACATAGTGAGTTCAAGGCCAGCCTGAACTACATATCAAGACTCTACCTCAAAAAACAAAGGAAAAAAAAGAAAAAGAACTGAAATTTTAATTTGGTTTTGATTAGTTAAATTTAAATAGCCACATATGGCTTCTAACTCTACAGTAGAGTTTATATTAAAGCTCTCCTTGCTGAAGAGTTAATCACAAAAGTACTGGCATCTCTTCTGAGTTCAAGTCCCAGATTTCAGTTACTGCTGTTCAAAAACTTATTACTTCCTTAAAGCCTGTATGATTAAAATCTGTCCTCCAAGACCAACTTTTTTTCTTGGTGGCACTGGGGATAGCAATGAGCTACATCCCCAGTGCTTTTTTTTTCTTTTTTTTTTAACACAGCATCTTACTAAGTTGCTAAATTATTTAATGACACAAACTAATCTATATGTGAAGAGAATAACATACTCCATGAAGGAAATCAATAAAGAATCATCATCAGAAAGATTGTAAGAGAACCAAGAAAATAATTTCAGGGAAGCTGACAGACATTAAGGGGGTAGCTAATAATATCAAATGTTCTACATATCTAGTAAAAATCAGCTTTATTTTACATCCAGTTTATTTCCTTAGTCATAGTTTTCTCCCTCTCTCCCTTCCTTCTTCCTTTCCTTTCTTTCTGTCTGTGCTGATAGGGATCAAACCTAGAGCCTTGTGACATTAGGCAAGCACTCTACCACTGAGTAACATCCCAGCCCAATTTTTTTGGGGGGGTGGTACTGAAGATTGAGCCCAGGGCCCTTACACTAAGCTAAATCCCAGCCCGCCCTTTTGTATTGTGAGATAGGGTCTCACTAAATTGCTGGGGCTGGGTTCAAACTTGCAATCCTCCTGCCTCAGCCTTCTCCCAAAGTGCTGGATTACAGGCACGTGCCACTGATCCTAACTCATTTATTCATTTCTTTATATAAGATTTTATTTTTATTTATTTCTATCACAGTGTCAGTGTATTTTTTAATAAAGGAAGACCTCAAAAAATATGCCCACATTTATTTACTTCAACAATAGACCCATATTCTCTAGGCAAAATAAATAAGGTTTTGAAACACTGATGAAAATGAAACGTATACTTATCTTAAATATTACCTGTACACAAGCAACTCCTGTCATCAAAATTACTAGGGAGAGCCACTGGTACACACCTAACTTTTTACTAAGCATAGACACAGAAAACAATGCCGTTGTAAGAATTTTCAACTGATAGGTGACCTGAAAAGAAAAATACCAATATTATCATTTGTTTGTTTGTTTCTTAAAAGGACTACGAGAAATGTATTTTAAGTACCTGATAGGTAGCTGCATCTAGATTTGACAGTGCCACATAGAGTAAATTATTCTGAAGAGTATATATCCCTGACGGAATAGCAAGCTTAAGTGTTTCCATTGGCTTATTAAGAATTTCATCATGTAGTACTCGATTCAGTGCTCTTAGACTACATTCTAGAATAAACAAGTGAAATAAGAAAAATCAGTAATTAAGTACCTCCAAGTAAGTTGAACATGCTTTCTCTCAAGGTCTCAGTTTTCTAATTTGTAAACAGAGGAAATTGAGACACATGTTAAATTACTTTTCTGTCTGAAATATACTTTGGTGATGCTAATTTTTCAAATGTTAAATATTATAAGGGAGTACATTACGAAGAACATTATCCTTATATTCTTTCACTCCCATATACAGTATAGCCAAAGTGATTATGTATCTACCTATACACAAATGTGTGTACACACACACACACACATTTATGATAACCAAAAGCTCAAGTATTCTTTACTATAGTAATAATATAAAAATTTTTATTTTGTGCATTCTCATTTATCATAAGCCATTCATGGCGACTAATAATTGTAAAGATTTAATCATGAAAACAAGGTAAATCAGGGGGTGGATTTGGCTGCAAACAACAGAAAATCCAACTAACACTAGCTCAACTTGTCTCATACACCATGAGTCCAACTCTAAGGTTTCTATAGCAACTCAGGGACTCCCCTCTCTGTATATTTAAATATACTGGATTTTACCTTCACACTTTTCATTATCTGCATGACATCCAATAAGGTCACCAAATGACTCCTGAACCACTGGTTCTTGTTTTAGGTAGCAAGAAGGAAGAGGAGGAAACAACAGCCTTTAAGGTATCTTTCTGTGCTCCCATTGACCTAGACTACATTAGTTCCCCATACCTGCAAGGGAGTTGGGAAATCAAGTCTTTTCCTTTATTTCCTCTGTATTAGTGACAGGAAATAGAGAAAGGAATTGAAAACAGACTTTAAACTAGCCAAACTACAGTATTAATCACAAAAAATGTCAAAAGAATTTTCAGAGATAAATGAACTCAAGAAAGGAAAAATTGTAAGAACCCCTATACTTTACCAAAATGGCATGTTGTAGATGACTTCCTCGAATATAAACAGGAAAACTTTGATCATGACAAACTTCTGTTTTGTTTTATTTTTGAGACAATCTTGCTATTCAGTCCAAGCTGGCCTTGAAGAACTAGCTATGTAGCCCAGGATGGCCTCAAACCCACAGTTTCTCCTGCTTTATCCTCCCCGATACAGGAATTACAAGTGTGGACCACCAGGCCTGGGCCCAGCCCAAGAAAACATTTTTCTTGTGGATAGTTGTTTGTTTTTGTGGTACTGGGGATTGAACCTAGGAACACTCTACCAGCTTGCTCTATCTATCTATCTATCTATCTATCTACCATCTATCTATCTATTTTTAATTTTGAGACAGGATCCTACTAAGATGCCCAGGTGGGACTCAACTTGTGATCCTCCAGATTCAGCCTCTCTGGGATTAGAGGCATTAAAGGTAGAATGTTTTTTGAAATGAAAACAATTTAAAGATCTCTACCTGCTACCCTTTTCTGATTCAAAAAGAAAAAAAAATTGTTAACTAAAATAAAAATAACTAGAAGACTTTTTTCTTAGATTTATCAGAAAAAATCTAAAAACATTAGCTTATTTTTATTTTTTTTAATTTTTTTTAAGATTATTTTTAAATGCAACTTTAAAATGATTAATGTTATCATGATTTCTTCTCTAAAGAGAAAGCTTTGTTCCACATTCCTACCAATTCCTGGTAATGTTAGACTTCTTTTATAAACCACTGTATTTTGTGGTTTTGATTTCCATGATTGCACGTGAGATTGAGCTCATTTGTTTTATTTTTTGAATACCATTTGGAACTGAACCCAAGACCTTGCATTTGCCAGGTAGGGCTTCTTCACTGAGCACCCTCTCAGCCCTGGGCATCTTTTAACATAGTTGGCCAGTCAGGTCTCCTCTTCTGTGACTTGCCTATTTATATCTTTTGGCTCCTCTTCTACTGACTTGCTATCTTTTCCTGGGTTGTAGGAGTTGTTGTAATTCTGGATATTAATTATTAGTGGTTAAATGTGATATAAATATCTTCCAGCAAACTGTGTCTTGTCACTTCACTTGGTTTGATATATGTATGCATATTTTTCATTTTAATGTATCTCCCCAAATGATCTGTTTTTTCCTTTATGGATTATTTTTATCTTTATGTCTTGTTTGAAAAAAAAGAAAGTTAATGCTAAAGTCATAAACTTTGTTTTTAAATATTAATATTTTATTTGCTTGGAATTTATTTTTGCATATAGTGTATCTATTTGTGTTTCAATTCACTGAAAGCTGGTTTCATTGCATCCTTCCACAATGCAGTTATTTATGTTAAGAATATCTTTGGCAAAATAAAAATTAAAAGAAAAAAAAGAATATCTTTGGCTCCACAGTGTTAAATGCAGTGGATGCTTGTATTCATCTAGTTCACCAGTGATGGTGAAGCTTTTAGAGACCAATGCCAAAACTGCAACCCAAAACTCACATATTTATCGCCAAGTGCTAACACGGCCATTAAACCTGAATACTGAGGTTTTAGTTTAGAAAACTCATATTGTCTCACGTGCTGACAGAAAGGGCTCTGCGCGCCTGCTGCTGATTTGAATCTGATCTCTAAAGACTAGAGATGATTTAAAGCTCAGTCTTTGGCTTTCTTCTCTTCTAGTATATATAACAGGTTAGCTCATTCAGTCCTTGATATTCTGATTCCTTTTTGCAATCCTTGACTTTAAGGCAATAAACTGACAAATCTTACATTTGACTTTTATTTGACTTTTCAATTTGAATGTTTCATAGTATCTCAAACTTAACAGGACCCAAAAGAGAAGCCCTAAATTTCCTTCAAATCTATCGTCCATGTATCATTGCAGCACTCATCCATTAATTTAATCTAAAAACCTAGAAATTACTTCTCAAACTAGATTCCTTTTTCCTGACCTTCACATATCCTATTAGCAAGTCATGTCAAATTAAATTCAAAAGAAGATACATAAATACTCAAGAACTGGAAAATCATCATTGGTATTGGTGATTAGAGACATGTAAGTCACAATCACAATGAGGTATCACTTCACACACACTTGAATGGCAGTAATATAAAAAGAGGAAGAGGGATAAGTTTTGGTGAGAATGCCGAAAAACTGGAACCTTTATACATTGCTAATGAAAATATAAAATGGTGCAGCTGCTGTGAAAAATAGTTTGACAGTTTCCTAAAAAAGGTAAACACAGAACTGCTAGGTGACCAAGCAATCCTACTCCTATATATACAAAAGAAATGAAAACAGGGATTCAAACAGCATTATTACAGTCTTATTCATTGTCCATTCCATAACTGTTCACAAGAGCCAAAAGGTGGAAACAAGCACAGTGTCCATCAATATATGAATAAACAGAAAATGGTACATTTACACAATATAATATTATTCAGCCATAAAAGAAATAAAGTTCAGTACACATTTTATGGAGAAGTATTGAAAACATTATGCTAAGTGAAATAAGCCAGGCATGAAATGACAAACATTATATGATTCAACTTAGGTGAAATATCTAGACTAGGCAAATTCATAGAGACAAAAAGTAAATTACAGGTTATGAGGCACTAGATATAAGGACAAATGGAGAGTTTTTAATAGTTACACAGTTTCTGTTTGTGACTTGACATTAAAAGTCATTAAAATGGCAAATTTTAAGTTAGATATATGCATTACTACAACTTAAAACAATAATTGAATACTCCCAAAACCACTGATTTGTACACTTACAGTGGGCAAATGCATATATAGGGCCCTGGGTTTATTCCCAGTACTATAAAAGATAAAATAAAAAGCATAAACTGTGGCTGAGATGTAGTTTAGTAGAGTATATACTATGTGCGTAGCATGCTCAAGGGTCAATCACTAGCACCAAAAGGAAACAAAAATAAACAAAAACCAGAGAAATTACATGGTTTATGAATTACATCTCAGTAAAACTGCTTTTTAAAAAAACTATCAAGCCGGTGATTTAGCTCAGATGTTCGGGCACCTGCCTCGCAAGCGCAGGGTCCCAAGTTCGATCTCCAGTACCAAAAAACAAAAACAAAACTATCAAATTAGTCACTGTTAGACTAATCAGTGTAACAAAAAATAAAGTCTTTAGTAAAACATTATGACCCTTCTAAAGTTCTAACAGTTTTGGAATTATAAAATTTACTTATTCTCAAATTATCATACTATCTAAGTACAGGAAACCACAATTCATATTTATATTACACAGAAGACATGAATCATAACACAGATTAAATTAATAACATAGTAAACTGGGCCGGGGATTTAGCTCAGTGGTTTCCGCCGCCTGCTGAACAAGTGCACGGACCCGAGTTTGATCCCCAGTACCAAAAAACAAACAAACAAATAACATAGTAAATTTCTACTAAGGTAAAACTTTTGGGAGGGTTTGTTTAGTTTTTTGGTTTTTTTTAAAAGTCTCTGTGTAGGTCAGGCTGTCAGGCTGGCCTTGAACTCACTATGTAGCCCAGGCTGGCCTGGAACTCAGCAGCCATATTCCTGCCTCAGCCTCCTGTGTGCTGGGATTACAGAAATGTGCCACCATGCCTGGCTTGTTCTGTTTCCTGAGACAGTGTCTCACCATGTATCATAGGCTGGTCTATATCACGATATACAATCCAGGCTAGAATAGAACTTGGAATCCTCCTGCCTCAACGTATCAAGTACTGGGATTAAAGGCATGAACCATTCCCAACTAAAACCGTCTTAATAAAAATTTTTAAAATACTTCAATGTTCTTTCTACTAGCTCAATTAGAAAAATGCAAGAATTCAAATATGTAGTTACCAATACATATTTACATATATGTTAATTAAATTAATTTAAAACAAAAAACCTAGATACCTACTACTGTCTTTGTAGACTAATAAAAGGCAGGCCATTATCTTCAAAACTTCAGCAACAACCACTGCTGTAGAAGATAGATAACGAGGTCCCTCCTCCTTTAAAGTCCTAGAATAACGCATTGTTAGAACCAAACTGGTAGTCTGAAAGACCAAAATTCCCAAAGAAAGGTATTTTAGGTTGGAGGACATTGTTTTATCTTCATTTGCCTGAAAAACAAAATAAAACAGAGCAAATAAATAAAATTACAACATACAGAAATGTCTAATGAGAGACTGATTCTAGGCAAGGTAGAAAAAGCACCCTATTCTTCCAATTACCACCACCAAAAACCTTGGACAAAAGACAAATCAACTTCCAAAGACTCGATGCTGTGTAGTCTGTGGGACAGAACCTTGCCTGTCATCTCCATCCTGAAGGAACTAGAGAAGTGGTGGCCCTTCCCCTCTCACCACTATCTGGAGCCACTATGAAGTAGAGCGCTATTGGCCACTGCTACACAAAGTGAACAGCAGCAGAGGCAGTACCTTTCCTCCTCCCCAGTGACTCTTAATTAATATAGGAAGTTTAAGGAGCCGGAGTCCTATAATGCTCAAAATGTCCAGGATATAACTAAATGAGTGTAGCCATAACAAAAACCAGGAAAAATCTCAATTTGGATAAATAAGGATAATCAACAAACAACAATGTGGGGATCACAAAGATGACACAATTATCAGGCAAGAATTTCAAAGAAGCTATCACAAAAAATGCAGCCACAAGCAATTATGAACACCCTTGAAAATTTTAGAACCACAAAGATTAAAAAAAAGTAGTATAGGTATCCCACTTCCTCCAATGACAATAAATCCTTATATTTTCCTTAAAATAATTCAGTATTACTAAAAGTGATGCTTTTTTGATTTTTTATTTTATTATTATTTTTTTTTGTACCAGGGATTGAACTTGGGGCCGTGCGCTTTCGAGACAGGCAGCGGCACCACTGAGCTAAATCCCTGGCCCCTGATTTTTAAATTTTTTATTGGGGATTGAACCCAGACCTTCATATATTAGCATGTTACTACACACACTACTGTTACCGGGTAGCCTACTTCTAAAAGTGGCTCGGCAACTAAATACTGGATTCTGGGTTGCTCGCCTCTCCTTCTGAAGTTAGATTCCAGGTTCTTCGTGTCTTGAACAAAAAATGGAATGAACAAGCAAAAAAGCAACGGCAGAAAGCAAAAGTGAAGAGTGGGGGAGAAACTAGTTCTGCAGTGAGCTTGGGCCAAGTAAAGAGAAAAAAAGGTAAGAGTAAAAATAAAAGTACATTCAGCCTCTGGGAAACAGCATGGGCTATCGTGGAAAGTTAAGACATCACCACTCCATGTGGCTGCTGACCAAATCTCGAGGAAACCCGAGAAAACTTCTACATAGGGATCCTGATAGGCAGTGCTGGGTCCCAAGCCTCGGGTCAACCTCAGGTCATAGCATTGTGGCAAAGTGGAACGGTTTGGTGCTATAGCCAAGTGTTACAGTTCAGTGTTACAGCTGAGTGAGTGCCAAAGCTCTGAGGCACAGCCGAGCGTTATGGCTCAGCGTTGCAGCTACCGCAATTTGAAGACGAGACTCCAATGGTCACTTGAAGAGGTAGAGAAAAACCTTTATTATGCTGGTGGGCTCAGAGGAATTCATACTGGAAAGTCTGAGCATTTGACTAGAAACTGAAACCTTCTTATACAGGGGTCTACTATGTAGGCGAGCATGCTTACAGATGCAAGAGGACAGTTACTGAAATGGGCAGAGCTAACAGACCATTCCTGAGAGGGGTGGAGCTAATGGAACATTCCTGAGAGATCACTAAATTTAAACAGTCACGAAACATTTTGATACATTGGGCAGGAGCCCCAGCAGTACAAATTGTTACATTTCTGGAACAAAATATTCTGTGAAGGACCAGGGATTTAGCTCAATGGTTACGCGGCCTGCCTTGCAAGCGCAGAGACCCAAGTTCGATCCCCAGTACCTCCCCCCTAAAAATTCTGTGGAAAAAAACATGGAGGCAAGGCAAGAGCCTGTCTTATTGTATAATATTGCTCTATCATTTGCTCTTATATATGTGCATATAGTGCTGGGTGTAGTAGCACACACTCAGGAGGCTGAGGCAGGAGGGCTGCCCCAGACCAATCTGGGCTACAGAGTTGAGTTCAATGCCAGCCTGAACTACATAGTAAGACCTTGTCTCAAAAAACCAAAACAAACAAAAAAGGTATATTGATAGAGAAGTGCTATACAATAAGATAGGCCCTTGCCTTGCCTCCATTTTTTTCCCCACAGAATGTTTTATTTTGGAAATTCAAGTTTGTGTTGCTGGGCTCCTGCCCAATGTATCAAAATGGTTTGTGACTGTTTGAACTGTGTGACCTTTCAGGAAGGTTCTGTTAAACTCTGCCCCCTCACAAGAAGGTTCTGCTAAATTCCTCCCCCTCTCAGGAATGTTATGTAGCTCCACCCCCTGCTTCATTGAGCATGCTCACACAGCATGTGTTTGAGGAATGTTCTGTATCTCCCTCCACTCCACCCCCACTTCATTGAGCATGCTCACCTACTTTATAGATCCCCACATAAGGAGGCTCTCATTTCTGGTATAGTGCTCAGACTCCTCTGAGCCCGCCAGGGTTCACCAGCGTAATAAAAGATTTTTCTCCACCTCTTCAACTGACCATCAGATTCTTGAGTCTTCAAGGACTGAGAGCTGCAACCCAGGGCTGCCACACTGAGCTATAAAGCTCAGCTGTGCCTTCTGAGCTGTGGCACTTAGCTGTGACACTGAGCTGTAACACTTGACAATAGTACACAGCTGCTCTCCTCTGCCAATACAATATGGCTAATTAACATGGCTTCAAAATACATACAACAAAAACTAATGAAACCAATGAAAAAAACAGGTAATTCCAGTCATACTTTGAAATTTTTAACCTACTTTTCTCAATAAATAGTAAAACACATAGTTTTTTAAAAAGTCAGTAAGGATGTAGACAATCTGAATAATGCTATGAACCACCATAACTGTTCTACCCAGATCTTCCTTTCAAGTAAGATTTAATGCAGACTATGTGGGAGCCAATAGCTTTCCCACCCAAGGTAACATATTTTGCCCCAAATTGATCCAAAGATTAAATTCAATCCAAAACAAAAACCCCTGTAGCCTTTTTTCTTAGAAACTAGCAAGCTGATTTCATTTTTTGTTGTTTGGATTTCTTTTGTTTTTTGGAGGCACGGTCTCACTATGCTGAACAAGCTGGTCTCAAACTCATGGACTCAAGGGATTTTCTCACCTCAACTTCCCAGCCTCCTGAGAACCAGTGATTAAAAGTGTGTGCTACCAACCCTGGCACAAGCTGATTATAAAATTCCCATACAGAACCAAGCAATGGTGATGTATGCGTGTAATTCTAGCACTCAGGGGGCTGAGGTGGGAGAATTGCAGTTGAATTCGAGGCCAGCCTAGACTACATAGTGAGTATAAGGCCACCCTGGAATACATAGGGAGACCCAGTCTCAAACTATCAGCCCCCCCCACCCCCCACCCCCGCCAAAAAAGAAAAAAATCAGAACTTCCAAGAAGATGGCAGAACAATGAGCAGTGGAGAAATGGCCTCTCCAATATTTGGAAGCCAGATGCTGGAATATAGCAAAATGAGGAAGAGGACAAAAGAAGTAGGTCCCTGGGATCCAGCAAGGATCTGAAGAATTAGAGCCCACAGGGAGAATGAGGAGAGGGACCACAACACCGAAAAGGGAGGGGGCAAGTGGCACTGTCTCCCAGAACCCTGGATCATACAGTGGGGAGGGGCAGCTCAAACCTGCAGAGGCAAAGTGACTACTAGTGACCCCTGAGGCCTTCATGGAGAAATGCACCAGTGGAACAGAGCAGTGGATACTGTGGACTGCAGTGGCTGGTGAATTATTTGGGTTCAGATGCCTCCCAGGAGGGAGCAATTGGCAGACAGCTATTTTGGAAAGGGGTCAAAGGAAATTGGAGCTGCAGGTTGGCTCCATCTAGTGGTTCCAAGTGTCAGGGTGAGGCAAAACCGAGTTCAAGTGGGGAGAAGGTTGGGGAGCCATGTTCAAGCCAGCAGGAGGCAACTTGGAGTGCTGAAGGCTGAAAAACTCAGGTCCCTGCCTCACAGCCAGGAACAAGCAGCCTGAACTTTAGTGGAAACAAAGGCTTGGGTTTACTGGGATTATCCACCACTGCCATAATTTTACTGCTGACTTACTTTGATTAATCAACATAGATCTGGGCTGTGTCTCCTCCAGGTGTCAACCAGTGACAGCAGAGAGACACCCTGAAGTGGACTTTTTTTTCTGCATTTCTTCCTTTTTTGGCTTTTCTATTTTTCTCTTTTCTTGATTGTTCTTGTTTATATGAATAAAAACATTGTTTCTAGTTTTCTTGTTCTTGTTTTTGTTCTGTCCTTGTTTGTTTCTTCCTTATTTCCCTCCTGTCTTCTTCACCATTTCCTAAAGCTTCTATAATCTTCCTTTGTCGCCACCCTTGCTTACAATCCCTTTCTCTTCTATTTCTCTATTTTTTTCCCCTAACCCCTTTTAAATTTTTTCTGCTGAGGGTAAAATCACCACACTGAGAGGATATTTACTGTACACAATTTTCTGGTTTGTTTTAGATTTGGTTATACAACTATAAATCCTCTTCATAAGGTTAAAGGTGGCAATTCAACACATAAGTTTGTCATTTTCTATGGTTTGTTAGATGCTATTATTATTGATTTTATTACTTTAGCCAAAGTGACAAAATTAAATAATATACCACTTAGTTACACAGAAGACCACACTCACAGGAAAGAATACGTAGACTTCTTTACAAACCAGCTACCTCACTTTTATAAACATGCAACAGCAAAAGAATCTTAACATGAAAAAAATTAAAGCATTTTAGAGGTGAAAGATGATTTAGAAATCATCTGATGTAATCTCTTCATTTTAAAAATGAAGAACAGGGCTGGGGATTTAGCTCAGTGGTTTCGCCACCTGCTGCACAAGCACAAGGACCTGAGTTCAATCCCCGGTACCAAAAAGGAAGAACATAGTGAATAACAAAGTTACATCATTTATTCCATCTCCGGTACCAAAAAAAAGAGAAAAAGTTAGATCACTTACTCAAGGTCACATAACCAGTATTTAGAAAAATCAGGTTATATAGTTA